GTCAAAGCTTAGACAAAAGAGTCTCCCTGCAGGTTCATGAGAAGGCCGATGTAAATAATCGTGTGCAAAGTAGAAGTGACAGCAAGTCACAGGCAACTTGAGTAACTGTAATCCTGAGGAAGTGTCGCCGTGCTAGAGGTGCGATGTTTTTGCTGAGGCATTAGGGAGTGACTTCCAGTATTTAACCAGTATCACTGACATCACTGTGTCTCTGTCATGAGACAATCATGGCTTGACGATGCTGTCAGTGAGCGCATCCTCTCCAGACGATGATTCCTCCTGATTCTGGCGGTTGTCACCTGTTAACATGCAGCATAATTCCCTCTGACCAAGAAGACATTTTCATATACAGGAGATTTTGAAAAATGTTTTAAATTTTACTGACATAAAATGAATATGAGACTATTTGATAATAATTTGAGGCCAGAATCTACCTCAAGCATCAAGTGAAAGAATCCAGCAACACAACCTTACTAAGACACACAAGGAGGATAAACTAAGACATGAGTATTGAAACAAACTACAAAAACATTGTCAGTTTAAGCTGCCGAAGATCAACAAAGCAAACAAAGGATAAAATGATAACTAAACCCTCTTAAAGAAAACTAAAATTCAACAGCAAAACTGCACTACAAAATATCACCACTGCCAGAGAAACATGGTGCAGTCCAGTTAACAGGTCAACACTATTTATATGGGCAGCAACGACCCAGGAGCTGTAATTCAAACACAGCTCGAGTACAGCAGCACTGAAGAAGGTAGTTAAATCTGTGCTTCTCAAAAAGATATGACATAGAAACATAAAATGTTTTAGGGCTATTTCTTTATTTTGTCAATGTATATTTTAAATGTTGTTCTAAAGGAAGGAAGGCCACATTCTGGGTGGAAGGGGCTGCTGGCATAACTTTTTTTTCAGTAATTTTTAATTTTCTTTTTTTTTACTGAAAGACAAAAGCAGCAGATCAGTGGAAGTCATCAGGATCACTCCTCTGAGCGGCATCAATGCGTGTACCACATTATGTAACAGTCCATCTCATGGCTGTTTAGACATGTTGGAACAAACCAAAGACGTTTTGTCATGGTGGTGTTTGAGGAAGTCTCAAAGTCAGTGAGGACTGCGAGGTTAAAACCTCAAATATATTACAGGTCTGCAGAAACAAAACAAACCAAAGTAGCTTTTGGTCAAAAGTGAGTCATGATCAGATGCTTTTTGTTATTTCATTTACCGAGGTAATGTGATGCTTAATCTCACGATAAAGGGTTTTTTTAACAAAAGAAAAAAAAGCAAATTGGCAGCTACAGTGTTGCCAAAATCTGTCACATGTGTCTGCAGTCTTCCTGTGGAAACTCACTGAATACTAACCTGAACAGTAAACATGGGGCTAATCCTGCAAGTCATATCTATAAGGGTAGTGAATACGCCACAGGGCAA